CCTTTATTTTATAGTTGATAAAAATCATAATTACTTAATTATTATTATTTTTTTTGAGTACAGTTGTTAAGCAAAACATTTATTTTAGGAATTGTATTTAATGTACTATATAACAGATAATATAGTAAATATTAAATAAGTTATTAGTAATTATTATTACCATAATAAAGTGTATACATCTAGCAAAAAATCAGAAACTCTGTTAGACGTTGCTAATTGAATTCTTAGGAAAATTCAATATTTCAATAAAGTAAAATAAAATCTTTGAATTTTCTGATAGTTGAGCTGTAAGGCTCATGACCATGAACTAACTAAAAGGGTGGTTCGCTGGTTAAGCTATAAGGCTCATGACCATGAACTAACTAAAAGGGTGGTTTGCTGGTTGAGCTGTAAGGCTCATAACCATGAACTAACTAAAGGGGTAGTTTGTTGGTTGAGCTGTAAGGCTCATGACCATGAGTTATCTAAAAGAGCAGTTTGCCGGTTGAGCTGTAAGGCTTACAGCCATAAACTATCTAAAGATGAGGTTTGTTGGTTGAGCTGTAAGGCTCATGACTATAAACTATTTAAGAGATGGCTTGTTGGTTGAGCTGTAAGGCTCATGACCATGAACTATTGAGATAAGAAAGGTGGTAAGGCTCACAATCATTATTTGAGAAAAAAAATTTTGTCATTCCAATATACTGCGTTCTATAGCAACTTGTAAAAATTTTATTAGCTCAACAGACATTTGCCATTAAACGAACTGACACTAACCTGTAATCGTCTAAATATGTGCTTCTTTTCAAATTCATTATAAGAGTTTATACACCATTTTTAAAATCTTTTATAGCATCTTGATAATTCATGGGAAAATTCATATGAGCAGTTAGCCAGTTGATTCATAAAAAGATGTGTGTTTAAAGTATTCCATGCGATATAAGTATTCCATGCGATATTAGTATTACTATTTGTTGCCTGTAATGGGGTGTTCTATTATTTCTATGCATCGTACAATAGTTACATTTTTGATATTATATATTTATTAAAATCAAGAGAGTAACTTCGAACTTTTGTCGCACCTGACAAAGTTCGAATGTTAATTCTATCATGAATAGCAACATTTGTGATTTAGGGTTAGGGTTAGGCAAAATAGAATATTAAAATATGAAGACATTCATTTAATGGAAGTTTCCAAATAAACCTGGTTGATTGATACTATTCAATCATTCTTAGAAATATATGCACAGAATTTTAGACTTTCTGTTCATTCGCAAGTAATTTTAAATTAATAAATTAGTTCTTTAGCAATATCTATTTTAGTACTTGTAAGCC